AAAACTGTTTCATTTTTCATCTAATTTAACATTGAAATCTCTCATAAATTTATCAAACACTCAACAAGAAAAATATTATATCTAGCCATCACTTGGAATCGGTAAATATATTTACGTATTTTATTCTATTTTCGTTAAATTAGTAAATTGTTTAAATTGTTAATTCTTATTTTGAAATAGGCAAATAATTTTTTACAATTTAAATAGGTCTATAATTTTTTAAGCAAAAATGAAAGAAATTTTATCTGCATATACATTAACAATCAAGAGAATAATCAACCCAACGATGGGCCGACTGGGCCATTTGTTTTCCAAATGAGGTCCAAACTTGGACGGTCCGACTAGTTTTGGATCGGACTGTCCGGATCTGTAGGATCCCGATAGCCCAATCAACTTTTCTTCCCCTTTTTCATCTCCTAATTACATTTTTAACAAATTATGTTTCCTAATGCAGATATGAGATCAGCAACAGTCCCAGTTTATTACTTTGATGAATTTGAAATGAATAAAAATTATCGATGGGTGTTGAAATTGACAAATGAAAAACGTGGTGATACTACCATTGTGATAAATCGAGTACATCATATGTAGAAATGTGCCATGATTTACAGAACAAGCTCAACGTCGATACCTCTCAATACGATATGGAATTAGAATTTCTATTTAGCAAGAGCATACATCTATTTTAATTCTACGTATAATGGTTACTTTCAAAGTTGAAATGAAAGTTTTAATTGAATTAAATCAAAATCGCACAACTTCTATTTGCATAACTTTAGTTAAGAAAAATGTCCTCGATAGTGAACACGAAGATTCAAATGGAGGGAATTGTGATGTAAATGATTTTTGGGACACGGTAGAGATAGCTCGTGAGGATGGTGTAAAGTAAAAAAAAAAAAATGAAAATGACAAAAAAAAAAAATTGGAAGGCGATGGAAACTCAAACCAATCCATTATAAATTTATCCAAATCCATTAATTAATAACACACAACATACACAAGAAAACGATTCAGAGAGGAAGAAGAAAGAAAAGAGAAAGGAAAAAGAAGAAAAAAAATAGTAAAAATTCGCCAACGTGTTAAGAATTAAGTGCTCTATACTATTAGCTTGAATTCCTCAATTTTGAAAGGTAAGTAAAAAGTACTTAATGAAAGGTTATGTTTAATTTTATAGCTGTTAGATTGTTAGATTAAATTCAATTTTATTGAATGTGTTAAGTGTAATAAACTATGAAATTGAGTAAAATGAATGAAAAAATAATTTTAGTAATTAAAAAGACTTTAGAAATCGCCTAAACGTGAAATAATTAAGTTTGAGTATCGCCTATTTAATTTTTGAAATTACTTAAAATAATTAATTATTGATTTAAAAATT